TTGAAGTGTCTCCATCGCTAGCAATTATGAAAGCAAAAAAAATAGCGCAAAAATTAAATATAAAAGAAGAAGAATTTAAAGCTTCTTGGCAATGGCTCGCAAACTTTCGTGTCGTCGAGGCTTAAAATCGATGTATCTTTTTGGAGAAGAAGCTGAAGATGACAAAGATGATCCTGAGTAAAGGTTCTCAAGTTGCTAAAGAAGTATCTTTTGCAACTTGAGGACCTTTACTCAGTTATTAAAATGTACAGACCCAAAAATATATACAATATGGACGAAACTAGAATTTTTTTTCGCTTGCTGCCTAGATATTTTCTGTTAATGCCTACTGAAAGCTTAGTAACTACAAGAGGTAAGAAAAAATCTAAAGAAAGAGTGACTTTTGCTTGTTCCAATGCAACAAGAGTCATAGAACATTTCACAAAAAACTCTGTTCTATGACTGAAAAAGCTGCACGACCTGCTTGTATAGTCGGTAGAACATTGCCTATACCGTATTTTTGTTAGAAAAATGCATGGATGGATGTCTCTATATGTTGGAAATGGTTCAATGAAGTCTTTTAACCTGAAGTTAAACGTAAAACTGGCTTGCCTGTTGTTTTATTATTAGACAATGCATCTGGACATTTTAAGGCGTTACAGCGAAATCTTGTAAAAGTTGTTTTCTTCCCCCCAAATTGCACAAGTTGGAAGCAACCATGTGATATGGGGGTTATTGCGGTTCTCAAGATGTGATATAAATATCTATATCTCTCAGACATATTGTCATATTACAGCCTCGATGTAAATACAAAGGAATGTCTGAAAGATAGTAGTCTTTTGTGCAAAAGAGTTGCAGCAGGTGTTAAATACGGGAACCCCGCACATCTTCTTGACGCTGCTAAGTATGTCGATTTGGCTTGGAAATCAATTCAACATTCACCTCTCAAAAATTGCTTCGACAAGGCAGAATTATTTCAGATTTCCAGCCCCGTTAACACTGAACTATGCTCTGAGGAGGCTGACTTCGCATCTTTTAATATGGTCTCGCTGCTGAACGAAATTGAAGGAATAGGGAGTATGATCAGTTCGAAAGATATCAGCAATTTTGAATCAATTGACTGTGAAGATTCTCCAACCTATATTCAAGCAATTAAGGAAGATGTTGAAGATTGTTTGTCTCTCGAAGAAAATAATAATAATGCAGTTGCTATGAATAATAATTCTGATGAAGAAGAAGCTAATAATGATGAGATAGACGATAGTTCAGACTTCTTAGGTATTGAATTTATACATTTATCTCTGATCGATATTGGCAAGCAATTAAAATGTCAAAGAGAAAAGCAATTTTAAAAAACGACAACGATAAATTGATAAATAGCTACGAACAACTATCATCAAACATACGGTCAGTAGTTATGAAAATTAAATGAGAAAAGCTGCGGAATGCATATCAGCCTACAATTCATGGCTTTTTCCGTCATGTATAATATATTTTTTTATAAAGATTTGTTTATATAGTTAATAATTTAGTTTGCTAAATTTTTTCTTATCTTTTACTTACTTGCGCACTCCTAGTTAATTGCGCACCGCAGTGCCTGTTTCAATTTGCGCAACTAAGCAAGAGACTACTGTAAGTATAATTTGCGCAACTAAGCAAGAGACTACTGTAAGTATAATTTGCGCAACTAAGCAAGAGACTACTGTAAGTATAATTTGCGCAACTAAGCAAGAGACAACTGTAAGTATAATTTGCGCAACTAAGCAAGAGACTACTGTAAGTATAATTTGCGCAACTAAGCAAGAGACTACTGTAAGTATAATTTGCGCAACTAAGCAAGAGACTACTGTAAGTATAATTTGCGCAACTAAGCAAGAGACTACTGTAAGTATAATGCAAAAGTTTGATTTTTATCAATTCAAAAACTTAAGATTTTTGATTTTAAAAAATTTGATTTTTAGGCAATTCAAAAACTTAATATATATATTTTTAAATTTTATTAATTTTTTTTTTTTAAAGTAGAAACTACTACCCTAATTCCGTAAAAAAGTTTAAAAAGTTAAATTTGGAAAACTTTTAAGTAATATAAGTAAAATCCTATTTCCGCTTAGTGACGCATATGCAACGCTTCATTGGACTGTAGAAAGATACATCCTTTTTTTTTTTTTTTAATTGTTTTTTTAGGCGCCGCAAGATATCCTTATGATCTTATCAGAGTGTACCGCGGAAAGGAGGTTTGCGCCTCCTTCTTTACCAATGTTATAAACCTTGCACAGAGGTGGCGTTGAACCACGCACTGGCATAGTAACAGGGGACGATAGCCCCCTAACTAAAACACTAGAGGGGGGGGGGAGGGTCAGACACTGCATTTAGCCCCTTTCCCCCCCCCCCCCCTCAATTTCTTAAACAGTTTATTATAATTTTTATGATAGCAATAGTGGAATTATCATTTTTCAGTCTGCAATGACTCAATCACAATTAAATATCACCATGGAAAAGTATATCCATAAAACTGTTTAAGATACTATCGCATACTATTTTTTAAATAAATGTGTGCTGGCAAAAGATGACTAATCACGTTAAAAAGATGATTAATTACGTTGCGTGTGATAAATAATTTAATAAATAGATAATTTTCATCTAATTTGCTGTACCATACAAAATTGAGGAACTTTTTCCTTTTTAATATATGTTTCCAGCACCCCCACCCATCCCAACTGTCGCGACCTTCCTACGCCACAGGAACCACGGACCTCTAGCTTTAAGGCAAGTGCGCTAACCACTTTGCCACTCAAACTTAAAACTACTATAATCTATATTTAATGTCTGCATTTAATGTGTGCTTCTTAGCTTGTTTGAAAGCAGAGCCACACTACATAATAGATGTTGAAGTTTTACTATGTTCTTGAACATTTTCCGCACGCTATCTTCCTCTTTGAACCAAAACAAACCTTTTTCCAGGTTTACTTGAAAAATTTGTCTCATCGAAATTGAATATATTTGAAGGTGAAGTATTACCAAGAGATTCATTCATTCACCAACTCATCAAAAAAATTAGTTATAACTTCTCCTAACTTTTGATCTTGATTGTTTAATATTAGAAGCAAAAAAAAATATGTTTCGTTTCATGAACGAATTTAACCAGTCATCTCCAGGTATCTTTACTTTCAAACTGTTTGAACCAATAGAATTTTTGAGGAAATCAAAATAACTTCTAATCTTCTAATAGAAAAAACCCAATCAGCAACAGTTTCTAGCATTTTAACAATGAGCACTTTATCTGCTTTGCTTATAATTATTTGCTTTCCAGCCTTCTTTAAATTGGGATTTTAATATGGTCGTGCAAGGTTGATTTTTTAAATTTATGCTTATTTAAAGTTTTATGCTTTTACTGTGATTTTATATTGTTTTCCATACAATACTTTCTTAGACCTTTACTTTTTCTTACAATTTCTTTACAATACTTTCTTAGACCTTGTTCCATACTTTCTTAGACCTTGTTCGATACAATACTTTCTTAGACCTTGTTCCATACAATACTTTCTTAGACCTTGTTCCATACAATACTTTTAAGTTTAGCTTAGGTTTTTAGTTTAGCGAAATCATTAAAAAAAAAACGAAAGTAGAAAAATGGGTAATGTTCTCTGCAAAGTTAGACTGCTGTTTAAAATTACCCCGGTTGGAATGTATTTTTTAAAACATTAACCTAGATCTGCAAATTTTTTAGTTGCCGCGTAAAAGACCGCCTAAAATTTTTGTTTAGACCAATCAAAATTCAACTTAATTCTTTGCTTTTGTTTTAAGAAAATTGCATTTAATATGAGCTGAAATATAAGAACATAAAATATAAAATAAGTTAAAGTTTGCATTCAAAAATTCATATTATTTAAATACAATTACAACTTACCAGATTCAAAATGTTTTGAGCATACAATAGCATATTTTATTTTTGGTGATTAATGTTTGTTTTTACTAGATCAATTCTACAATTAACATTAAGCCACAATCTTCTTCTCGTTGGATTAGCACCCAAAATATAAAAATACGGATAGCTTTTAACATTTTTTTTTAAAGTTATGAAGGTGCTCCAAGAAGACCTATCGGTCTTATCACAGAGCACCACGGAGGAGCATTTAACCAAGAAGTTCACACCTCCTTCCTTACCAATATCGCTTAATGGGTTAGAGCCGGCGTTGAACCAAAAGCTTTTTGGATTTGAGCCAGAACGCTAACTACTGCACCACGGCTGCTCTTTTTTTCAAAGTTTTTTAACAATCACAAACACAGCTACTTGTCACCATTTTCAAACGTAATGTTTTGCCCCATAACAAAATTGTAGCCGCTTAGTATGGTAGTTAAAGTGACGTCACATTAACCGTAGGAATTTGCGATGTTGTTCATACTCAACAGCAAGTTAAGTTTAAACAACTCCGTAAAACAGAAGTAATTCATTACTATGTGATTCTAACCACATACAATCGGAGTATAAAGTATCGGCCTGTCAAGGCCTATATTTCTAAAACGCCATAGTATAAATTAAATTTCTAAAATTTCTTTTTTTTCGTTACTTAACATATCTAATTAATTACATAAGTTAAGTTATAGAGAAATCTTCCTGTCATTTTTGTAGTTGTCAAAAGTACCGAGGCTAGTACTAGTCGGTAGACTCCTTTTCTCCCTAAAAAAAAGTCAGTAGGCCCACCCAAATCTTAAAAATCTTTCCACTAGGTATTACAAAAAAAAAAGCTCCTAAAATTTGCAAAAGAGCCTCCTAAATTTCTGGGTTCCCTTCCCCCCTCCAATTTGGGTGCGTGGGATAGCCTAGCTAAGGCACTGATTGTCAAGCATAGTAACTTTAAGTTATACGCTAATGGACATTAATATAATTTAAACATTGCCCCTGAACATAAACCTCTAATACAAAAGTTTTTTGTAGAATTACCATAGTTTATGTATTTGTGACTTAGGGTTTTTCCCGTTGCCCGTTGCAGTATATCCAAAAACCGTATCTAAAAGTGTGTGGTTTCCTGGGAACGAAACTATAGCGTAAATTCTTATAATCATGTGCTTAGCTATTTATCAATTTTAACTAATTACCCCTTATAGTTTAACTTCAAAACAATTTAAAACAATTTTATTATTGTCTGAAAGAAAATGGGTTCAAGGTTAATAATTAAAAATTTTCCTAATGAATTTTCTGATAACGATAAAAAACAATTTCTCCTTTTGTTTGGTGCTGAAGAGATTGTTTGCATGTCTCAATTTGGAAAAATGAAGAACAGTTGCTTTGCATCGTTTCAAAATCCATTTTTAGCAAAACAAGCTCTTGAATCTTTACATCAATTTGAACTTCTAAGTCAAAAGTTGGTTGCTGAGTATGCTAAACCACATCTTACTAAAATAGCAAATAAGCTACAAAGTAAGATAATTTTAGACTATACAGATAAGAAAGATAAATCGGAAACTGAAATCCAAGTAATAGAGGAGGAGGAACAAAATGCTGGTATTTGTCCAAAACTTGGTATAACCCATGAATTTCCTAAGCATTTAAGTTATCAATATCCAGAACCTAATGTTATGATTTTGACAAATATTGCAAACGCTTTAGCCACAATACCTAAGTTTTATAATCAAGTATTACATTTAATGAATAAAATGAATCTTCCTCCCCCATTTTCAGGACCTACTTTAGCACCTCCAATACCTGGCGATTCCATACAGCTTCAAGATGTTTGTGTTGATACAAGCGATTTACATAGTTTTCTTTCTAGTGGTGAATCTGAATTAGAAAGTGACTCAGAAAATGCAACTAAACCAGCAATATATCAGGTTAATCAAGTTGGTAGCGGTCCATTACGTAAACGCAAGAAATTAAAAGCCCTTCCTTCTGTTGAACAAGAAAAGTTTAACATCTTAAAAAGTAAGGCTCCTGAATCTATTGAAAATACATTTGAACTAACATCCACAACAAAACGATTTGAGTTTAAACTTGCAGCAAGTATTCAAGAGGTTGTTGAAGGCAGAAAACAACCACAAGTAAGCTATAATGTATTTGATGAGCGTGGTGAATTCGGAAAGTTGCAACCTTTAACAAAAATTGACTCTGATGAAAGTTCTGAAGAAGAAAAAAGTAAACAAAAATCATATATTTCTTCTTCTCAATTAAAAGAAAATCGAATTTCTGCTGAAGAAATTCTTGCTATGACTCAATTTAAAAAGTATACATGTGGTGAACGAACAAATAGACTATATATAAAAAATCTTTCAAAGCAAGTACAGACTGATGATTTACTGTTTATATTTAATCGATTTATTCGTCATTGCTCTGAAGAAGAAAAAGCTTTATTAGATATTAGATTAATGCAAGAAGGAAGAATGAAAGGACAAGCTTTTGTCACTTTTCCTAACGAAACAATAGCAGAAAAATCTCTGAAACAAACACATGGTTACATTTTACTAGGTAAACCAATGGTAGTTCAGTTTGGTAAAGCAAAAGATCAATAATATATATATATATATATATATATATATATATATATATATATATATATATATATATATATATATATATATATATATATATATATATATATATATATATATATATATATGTAAATATATATATATATATATATATATATATATATATATATATATATATATATATATATATATATATATATATATATAATAGTAAAGATAAATTTAATGCATTTGTATTGTTTTATCTTAAAGTAATAAATTATCCAACTTTTTGTGCCCTATTCTTCTATATTTATGTTATGTAGAATTTTTTCATATTTTGTAAAATAAAATGTTCTTAACTATTCATTTACGTTTATATATATGTATATATATATATATATATATATATATATATATATGTATATATATATATATATATATATATATATATATATATATATTGAAAATAAAAGCTTCTACATTACACATTCTTTTTTTAATTTCATTTTCAAGTATCATTATTTTTTTATGTTTTTCGCCTCCCCAAGGCCAAGAAGACTACTACAGTCGAGGAAGCAACTTTACTGTGGTTACAAGTCTAGTGCTGTACTATCAGGAAAATGGTGGGGATCAAACTTGTTGTTTATAAAGCGAGCACTCTATCACTACCTCACTACCACATGGCTTTGCATGATAAACAAGGATCCCATGGTACTGATATTATTTCTTGATTGCTATTATTAACCTTGTGAATTCTTCCCATAGCATGGACAAAAAAGCATTTCCATAAATTTATCTTCTTTTGATGCTTAACAGTGATATTAATACACTGAGGATGATACTTTTAATTATTACAACTCCAAACACAAAATCTTTGACTGCATCTTAAGCCAAAAGGATATTCTGGCCAAATGTCTCTATTCGGCAATTGTTCAGTCTTTATGTTTAATGCACCATAGAAACCTACATACAAAAGTTGACCTTTGATAGAAATGACTTCCTGATAGTAAAAGGACTATCTAACTTTTCCCCCACTTGTAAACAACAAATTAGAGTTTTTTCTGAGATATTGGTAATACCAGTTTCTACTTTTATCTTATCAATAAAAATATGGTATTTTTTAAAGGCAGCTTGAACAATGCATATATCTTCTCTTTTTATAGCTTTTCCCTTCCTACCTGATCCTAATCAACAGGCTGTTTCTCCTTTGTTCTTATACTTCTTAAAAAAATCAGCAATGGCTTTTTCTACATCTGATCTTGCTTGCAATATCTAAACAAATTATTCCAAATGATCACATCTTAATGAAATAACCTTAAAACTCATCTTTAATATTATCTTCAATAAGAAACTCAGCTTAATGATTCAATATGAAACTTAGCTTGATGCAAATTCTACTTGACATTATCTTAAATAATGCTCCTAAATGTTATTTGTCCAATACCCTTCCTAGCTTTGGTAATACGGATCATCTTGTCATAGCTAGTCACCCTCCTCTATAAAATTCTGTAAACCGACTAGCCTGGTTCCCTGCAAAGTTGCTTACCAGTCATTTAGAAATGCTAAATTAAGTTGCTTGCAACATATTTTATTATTCTATACTCTCTGCTAATGACATATACCAACCTCTAAGAACAGTTATACTTGTTAACCCCAAACCTTAGATGACACCATTTATTCAAAACTTTCTAAAAGAACATCAACAAATTTTTTTCAACAGACACTACAACAAGTGAAAAGTACTTGCAAATTGACTCACTAAAATAACTATCAAAGCAAAATCTATAACAGGTGTTTCTCAACTCGAAAAACAAATTTTGGGAAGAAATCAGGTTTGCCAATACAAAACAAAACACCACCTCTATCTCTGACACATTAGCAAACAAATTAAACTATAATTCCAGATTGGTAAGAAACAACTTAAACTCTCATTCTTCATCAACCAACAGGTAAATCCACCTATTACCCACATAAATTGATAACATTGTCAATCAACTCAGCAAACAAAAGATAGGATTGTCAAAATCAAATAATCTTTATCTGCTTTTACTCAAATCTGCTCTCTTTGAAATTGCCCAATTACTCTGTATTAAATTTAACCGCCTCAGAGAAAACAGTTATCTGTATGACAGAAATCAGCAAACATAGCACTAATTCCTAAAATATCTAACCTGCTCTTTCAATGATTGCTTTCCAATTCCCATTACATTTGTATTACGCAAAGTTTCGAATGCATTATTATCAAATTCATTGTCCATCACACCTAGCACTTATGGTTCTTAAACAAACAGTTTAGTTTCTTTCCAGGATGTTATACAATAGATGCTATTATTCAATTTATAGTGGACTGGAGTCATGCTAAAGATAACAACAAATCAATTTTTGCAATATTGTTTGGTTTTGCAAAAGCAATGAAAGAAAATATTGCTGCACCATGCCAAACTCTTAGTCAATGTAGCAGCACTCCTTTGCAATAGCTGACTATAAGATATATATATATATATACATATATATAATATTTATATATATGTATATATATATCTATATAATATACATATATAGATATATATATATATATATATATATATATATATATATATATATATATATATATACATATATATAAATATATATATATATATATATATATATTTATATACATATATATACATATATATATATATATATATATATATATATATATATATATATATATTATATATATATATATATATATGTATATATATATATATATATGTATAATATATTATATATTATTATACTATATATTATATATATTATATATATATAATATATTATTATACTATATATTATAAATTATATATATATATAATATATTATTATACTATATATTATATATTATATATGTATATATATATATATATATATATATATATATATATATATATATATATATATATATATATATATATATATATATATACATACAACCCTTGGAATTAGGGTCAGCATTTGACAATGCCAGTTCTAAGTGTTTGAGGTCAGCATATTTTTGCTGACCTTGTTTCTATGTTTTATGGTAAGACCTTTGTATCAAATTTTTTTGCCAACCTGATGCTGACCTCTAGAAGATTGAGGTCGGCTAATTATTACCAACCTCATCTACCTAAATTCGAGGGTTATATATATATATATATATATATATATATATATATATATATATATATATATATATATATATATATATATATATATATATATATATATATATATATATATATATATATATATATATATATATATATATATATATATATATAGCAGCACTCCCTTGTAGCAGCAGGCTATAAAATAGTAGATGTAGCAACGCTTTGCGCATGTTTTATAGTGAAAAAAAAAAAAAAAAAAATTAAAACATTCAGAATGTTTTTATTTTTAAAAATTAAAATAAAAACATTCAGAATGTTTTTAAAAACATTCAAAATGTTTAATAAAATTTTGTGAAATCTGTGCAGCAAAATGGGTATTTCCGGGTACTCGGTAAAACAGCCTAATTTCCGGGTCTGAACCAGTACCTGGCATATCACTAATTTATATATATATATATATAAATAATAATAATAATATATATGTATATATATATATATATATATATATATATATATATATATATATATATATAAAATGTATATATAATATATATTATATATATATGCATATATTTTCAAGTAGATTTAAAAATATAAATATAAAAATAGTGGATGGCTGAAAAAGAACATGGCTGAAGAAGAACTTGATGAAGAAGAACCTTTACCACCTGGATGGATAAAATCATTTTCAAGAAAGTTTAATAAACATTATTACTTTAATAATCAAACAAATGAATCAGTATGGGAGCATCCATCTAAAAATAATAATGAGGTTTATTGGTTTAAATTTTTATTATAATTTAAATTGTATAATTTAAAAGCACAATCCATTTAATATTTCATAGATAATAATTATTATTGTATTATTATCTTTAAAATGTTAAAGGGATTGTGTTTTATAAAATCAAATTCTAGAATATTTAAGGTAATTTCTTTTTGAATTTGTATTCAGATTGAATTTATTTAGCAATATCCAAGAATAACATTATGACCCTTATTATATGTTGTTTACTGCATAGATTTTAATAATTTTTTATATATATATATATATATATTTATTTTTAACATATATGTATATATTATATATTAAGCCTTATCAGATAAAGTGTGCCATCGTACATACCTTATATGACCACGTATACAATAGTTTTTGACAACTTGGCCATGGTTTTTTGCATATGTTGATAATTTGCGTGTTTAAAAATTGAGCTGAAAAAGCCAAACTAATTTAAATCAAGTATTTAAATTTGAGTTGAATCAGTGGTTCACCAGACCCTTTTATCTGCTGCTTTCATTATTCCTAATAATGTCAAGATGGTTAAAATTGCATATAATCACCTGCTTACATTTTTGATTTTTGTTGACAAAATTACAGACTCTTTTTATTTATGTAACTCAAAGCATCTCTTGTTGAGTTAAGTGCTTTGTAGATACATGCTATAATTAATGTTTTATGATTGATTGTTATAATTTTTATTGGTTTCAATTTTTATTCAATATAAGTTTTTAAAAAATGTTAGAAATGTTGGAAAATACTTATAGTAATTTGTTATCTATTTTTAAAGGCTAACCTTTATTTTTAAACTGAATAAAATCCTTAAAAGACATTCAAAATTTAGTTATGAAGTTTGTGTGATCATGATTTTAAGTTTATTTTTTGTAAATAACAATCAAGTTTGGAATTAAAGAAGTTATTAAGGTATTTTTTTAAAATAGCAATGAAGGTTGGGAAAATATTAAGGTATTTTTATTAAATAACAATGAAGTTTGAAACTGGAGAATATATAATGTTATTTTTTTGTAAATAAAAATAAAGTTTACTACTGGAGAAAATTTTTTAGTTAAAAGGTTTTAGCCATGATATTAGGTTTAGTAGTGTTTTTTTTTTAAATATTAACCAGTTTATATATAAAAGGTCTATATATATCTACTGAATGTTTTTTTTTTACTTAAATTTCTCTACAACAAGTAAAATGTGTTAATTTTTCTACTAAGTAAAATAATTTATTAGTAATTTAAGTAACAAGTAGAATAATTTAAGTAACAAGTAGGATAATAATAAAATAATTGAAATTTATATAGTAAAAACTCATTTTAGTAAAACCACTACTCAAAGTTTTTTTCTTTAGTTTAAAAAAAAATTAAAACAATTCATTTAAACTGAATATTAAGAAGACTATCGTAATTTATGCAGCTGTATAAATTACTGAAGTTGCGTAAAACATGGTTATTTGAAAAAAAGTTGACTATAAAATACACTTTTTTCAAAGAATATTAATTTTTTGTCAAATAAAAAAATTCTTCGATCTAATGACAATATTAAATTGACTGAAAAATGCACAAACCATAATTTTAAATTTATTTAAAAAATTATTATTTGTATTGATTTCACAAATGGCAGCCAAATTATTAGAAATTGTAAATGAAAAGACTAAAGGAAAAAAAACTAAAAACAAATAACAATTGAATCATAAAAATTTATTGTGTCATTTATTGTGTTGTGAAAAAATTCTTTAGACGATCGTTGTCTTTGTGTTTTCGCACTAGCTATCCATTTATTTATTAACAACATTACTTATTTTATAAAAATGTGACAAAGAGCTATAAAAGTTTTTACTGCGTATAAAAAATGTTTTATATTTTCTTATTGCAATAAAATGCAGGTATTTTAAGAATTATTACAACAATTTAATGTTCCACAATAAAAGTAAATAATATATTAAAGGAATTAATATATAAAATATATAATTAATTACATAAAAAAATTAAAATAGATTAATTTAGAGCTTAATATTTTATCAGTTAAATTTTTTATAAAAATAATTAACAGTGTAATAGTTTTGTAAAGTATTTATCAGTTACTGCAATCTAATCAAAAACATTTGCATTTCAATTAGCGCTCTTTTTTTCTTTTTTTTTTTTTAATTTTATATTTTATCAGTTAAATAGTTTTAATTTTATCAATATAAATTAGAGTCTAATAATTTTTTGTTTTTCAGTAAGTTCATCTAATCAAAAACATTTGCATTTCAATTTTTTATTTTTATTTTTTTTTGCAACAACCATGCCTTTTAAAAAGCATTGCAATTTATCATGCAATTAATTTTTTTTTATAAATTATTTTGTGTTTTTCATTTTAGTTACTCTGATAAATATACTTTTGAGAAAAAAAATTATACTTTTGCGAAAAGTATAATATATATATGTATATATATATATATATATATATATATATATATATATATATATATATATATATATATATATATATATATATATATATATATATATATATATATGGCTTGGTCGGGAAGCGGGTGCGATCGCACTTGATAACTGACCACGGAAATAATATTTAGTTGCGAAAAACCAGCCAGATTTTTTAGTTGTTTTGAGAACATTTAAGTTCATCTATGTTTCCTTGTTTGTCCACAAAATAATAAGTTCATTTTATCATAAATTTTAAAATCTTTTGTTTTACGGTCTTACATGGAAACATACATAAACTTGAATGTTCTCAAACATCTTAGTGCGGAAAAATAAAAAAAGATTATTCGCGAACACAAAAAACCCGCAAAATCTACGAACAACTAATTCTATTAGTTCAAAAAATACTAACCGAAATTTCTAGAGTATTTAAAAAATTCTAACGGAATGTCCTGAGTATTCTGTTAAAATATTTTAAAAAATTGTATTTTTTGAATTTTGTTGCGTTTTTGTTGAGATTTCTAGCATAAATTATTTTAATAATATACTATCAAACGAACTACTATTTTAATTCTTGGAGCCACATCTACAAAGCTATAAATGTTTTAAACTAACATTATTTGGTTACAATAATAAATGTTTTAAATTTATATTTTTTAACTTGTCAACGTTTTGTAAATATATTATAGATTTTATTAGTATATTCTTATTTTTTATATATAAGGGATGTATTTTTTATGTATGTAATGTATTTTTATGTATGTAATGTATTTTTATTTATGTAATTTTATGTATGTGTATTTTATTCAAATGTAATCTTTTAAAGCAATTTGTGCGATTGATTTTATAAATGAAAATACTTTCAATAACAACTGCGTTTTCAATGAAATTATTAATATTCGTCAAAATTAATACAGAAAATTTTAACCACGAATTCATTTTCCTCAGTGTACCCGATAACTGATTCTTTCTCCCAAGAAAGAAAAGTTTTTAAGTTCTTAGAAATTGGTTTACTAACTTCAATTATTTTTGCTTCAGCCATTCTTACAAACTCGTTATACTTAAAGTTACTTTTTCTGTTTTAAATACTAATTAAAATTATAAAGCCCACTTACTAAACATCACCAGCGGTATTTGAAGCAGTTCCGTTTCCTCCTCACAAAGTAATTTAACGTTTTTTGTTAATTTCTATCTAGCTAATTGAATTTCTACAGTAACTCAATAATATAATTATTTCATTTGTTTATCTTACTAAGAACAATTGTTTCAAATTTGTTGAACATTTTAAACTACGCGAAGCATAAAAAAGTTATTGAAAAAATGTTTTTATTTATAAATAAATCTGGTTGAATCTTGTTGGACTTTTCAGGGCCGTGGGCTGCATTATTTTAGCAGCCTTTTTGTGTGCCACAGCATAAAAATGACTAAAAAAAATACCAAATGGTCCTCTTGACTATTTCCCCTAACACTGTGAGTCCCGGGGCTATAGCCCTACTAACCCCACCTCACCTCCTCAATCCAGCACTGGAAATAAGACATAAGTATATAAATAAAAATTATATATACTCTTTGATAAATCGAAGAACATTTGTTTCTTTATAGTTGTTACTTTATATAAAATATGTCGCCTAATTTTATTTAAAAAGTTATAAAAGAGCGACGTTTCAAAAATAATTGCTTTAATAAATTTATTTTGCTTAAAGTTTTTTCGCGTTAAAAGCTATTTTTGTTTTTTTAACTGTCTCTCATCGGTCCAGTTAATCTAAATGCGCTTTTTTGTTTGTTTTTGAAATGTTCTCAAAACTACTAAAAAATTTGGCCAGCTTTTCGCAACTAAATAATATTTCCGTGGTCAATTATTGAGTGTGATCGCACCCGCTTCCCGACCAAGCCTGATATATATAGACTCTTGCAACGTTGTCAGAAAGTTTTCCAATATTTTGTTGATATAAAAAATTTAAATGCAAGACCGGAATTTTATTTATTTTTTTTTATTTTTATTTTTTGATAGACTGCCTGCCCAAACCAAACCCTCAGTCGATATAGCAGCACTCCGTTACAAGTCAGGCTATTTGTCAGTCGATTTAGCAGCACTCCATTGCGAGTCAGACTATTTGCCAGTCATATAGCAGCACTCTGTTGCAAGTCAGGCAAGATAGTCAATGTAGCAACACTCGCGCATGATTTACAGTAAAAAAAAAATTAAAATAAAAACATTGTTTATATTTTTAAAAACATTCATAGTGTTTTTAAAAACACTCTGGTCAATTAAATTTGTGTTTTTGCGGTTTTTTAAAAAAGTAATTAAATTAATGGTTTTAACTTTATGACAACACGGAAATGTTGGATGAATGTCAAAAGTAATTAAAGGTGGCGTAATTTGTTGTCAAAAGAATCATTTTTTACCTTCCGTTCTCTCTCTATATATATGTATGTATATATATATATATATATATATATATATATATATATATATATATATATATATATATACATTCCTTCTTCCATTCTCTCTCTCTCTCTCTCTCTCTCTCTCTCTCTATATATATATATATATATAATATATATATATATATATATATATATATATATATATATATATATATATAAATATACATATACATATATATATATATATATATATATATATATATATATATATATATATATATATATATATATATATATATATATATATATATATATATATATAAATACATATACATATATATGTATATGTATATATATATATATGTATGTATGTATGTATGTATGTATGTATGTATGTATGTATGTATGTATGTATGTAAGTATGTATGTAAGTATGTATGTATGTATGTATGTATGTATGTATGTATGTATGTATGTATGTATATATATATATATATATATATATATATATATATATATATAAAAATGAAATTTCTAAATTTCTTTTTGAAACTTAAAATAAATTTATTATTTTTTCACTGTTTTTTATGTGATTTAAAATTAATTTTTAGGTTAAATTTGTTAATCAAAATCAGAAACCAAATCAAAATAAATTAGAATCAAATATTGCATCAAAACAAGTCATAAATAATAATGATACGGTGAAATTAGGAGGAGGCTTGTTAAATTCCAATCCTGTTTCAAAAGAAAAAAATATAATTAAAAAAGGCTGTATTGGTCTAAGAAACAAAAACTTGAATAAAAATGAAAACGACATACTCCATAAACATGTTATTTCAAAAGTTACAAATTGGAAAAAGAACATTGAACAAACACACGAATCAGAGGGCATTGTTAAAAACTATTTACCAGTTATGAAACCAGTTGATATATCTTTAGCTCAGTCTTTAGACAAAAGTACTCCTGAAAACAAGTGTTTATTGAAAAGAAAAAAATCTGATAGTGATCATTCTTACACTTCATCAAATACTTTGCCTTATGATTCTCCTACTTATCCAAGAGAATCAGATCTAGGTTCCTCACGAGCTGGTTCAGTGTGCAGCAAACGTTCAGTTCATTCTGGTTTAAAAATTAATAAAATGACCAGTAAAAATATGAAATCTACTGGGAGTAAAAAGAGCTTTCAAGAAGAAAAAATACCAATAAAAAAGACATCACTTCATAATGAAAAACTCACTCCAGCTATGAAAAACATTTTTAAAAATGCTCATAAAAGTAATGGTGACTTGGGTATTATAGTCCCAAAATCAAAATATGTTGCATATAAAAAGAATCCAGAACTTATAAAAAACCTAAATGAAAAGGTGATTCCACAATCCTTTGTTAAAGATGCGGCAGAAAATTATTCATCTGCTATAAAGCCAATAAAATTAGATAAAAGCATTGAAAAAAATGAGAATATAAACTTTGTTTCTTCGCCTGATAAGTTAAAGGGTTTTGCGAATCCTTTTTTCGAAAACAATTGCAAAATAAACTTTAATGATGAAAAACCAAAAGAAAATAAATCAATATTTGCTACTACAGTTACATCTTTTTCAAATAATACTCAAAATTTTAGTACTATTGAAACAAAATCACAGTGTGACACTTTTGAGCCTATGCAATGTGAAGATGGTATATTTTTTAATCAATTAACTGGAAATGTTGTTAGTAATGAAAATCAAGATTCTATAGAAACGCTAAACAAGGAAGCAGCAGAAGAAAAGAATCGTTTATCGTTAAATGGGTTTCTTCTTACTAAAGAAACAGATCTGTTAGAAGATGAAATGGAAATTGATGATGCTTCTGATTATAAAAACAAAATTTTAAAAGAGGTAATATCTTTTAAGAAAATTTGAAGAGGCGAAGCTTTAATTTTTAATTATGCTAGTGAGGCTTTAATTATGCTATTATGCTCATTTTTATAACTTGCATATTAATATAATTAAGAACTTGAATATTAAATTCTAAATTTTACATCGAAAACTAAATTTTAAATTATAAAATGGAAATATTTTAGATTCGTGGTATCAGAGAAGAAAAAGTTGTTCAAAAACCTCAGGTATTAAAAGTTTTTTTCTTGCTTTTCCTTTTTTATAGTTTTTTTTTTTATTAAAAAAAAAATATTTCTGTTTGGTTAGATTACAGATCTTGGCAGTGCTCTGTTACCAACTTATAATGTAAGTATTATTATTATTTTTTTAAAAAGAAAAAAAAATTAACATAGTCGATAGTTTATGTAAAATTTTATATAAAATAAAAAGTCATTTTTATGTCTTGATTAACTTAGTTAAATTAACAGGTGTTGTATTATTTCAAAAAAGATATTGTATTATTGTCATTTATATATTGTAGACTTGGCCAGGAAGGCGTGCAATTTCAGACCATAATATGACCATGCAAATAATATTTGATTTTAAAAATTTGACCACAACTGTTAACCCTTTGAGCGTGGAATAAAACTTAAACACCGTACGGAGAAACTGAACTAAAAAAAACAAAAAAAAAACAAAACAACTATTTTAAATTTTAGTTTTTTTTTTCTAGTTTTTAGAAGAATTTAAGAAATGCGATGTATTTAATTTATAGCTGTTGTGTGGTAATTTGAAAATCATCCAGGGCACAGTCCAACACAACATGACTGACACTGCCAACTGGTACGAACACGGGTTTGGTGCCCAGCTACACATTTTATTTTTTTTCCTGAACCAATTTTGACAAGGTTATGTCCATATAAAGGATTATTAATTGCTGTGTGTTGAGGAAGTGGATATGGTACAATTGTACTTCTTGCCGTTTCCATCTCCCTAGATGTTCGTCTTTTTGATACTACTTTTACTGGTTGATACCCTCCAGCTAAACTTTCCACAACTGCCATCATAAAACTTATTCTAGACATAGGCTTACGTTCAATAGTGTTAAGCTTATACAATAAGTAGCTGTTAAGAATAGCCCTGCCAAATAAAGAAAAGGCAACTTTTGTAGTCCACTTTATTGTCTTACGCTCTGACAGGTAAACGTAGAGCTGTGCATCTCCCAAATCTACCCCTCCCATGGTTCGATTATATAGGGCAACAACGTTTGGCTTCATAACTAAATTACCTCTTCTGTTGCGCAATTCAGTAAAACCTGCTTTGGCAACAGTAGACAGTAATACAGGTTTTTTTTTACCATCTTGATATGCCACACATAACAAAGGACCTTTTCTATATTGGCAAACTTCTTTATTTTTTAATTTTGTTTTAAGGCAGATTTCTGGCAGACCTTTTAAATAAATTTAAGTAAAAGTTGAAAACGGTCACGATTGAAATGAGTAACAAACCAGGGAGTGGAAGCACAAGGATGACTAATATCCCAATATAGTTTAATACTAGCTTTCTTGATTAGACCCATATTGATAACAACACCAAGGAATGCCTTTATTTCTAAAAGATTTGTTTTTCCTTGCTTTATCCATACATGACCTATCGACAATGGATGAGATCTCAAATGCTGTTGGTTACTTTGTATCCATGCATCAGCATACTGGTTGGTATAAGTTACTAACTTTTCCAAAAACTCTATAGTGAAAAATAATTCAACATAATCAATGGGCTTTGATTCTGGTGAAATAGTATGTTTGGGTCCTGGTACACCAGTAAAAGCAAAAACATTAGGGCCATTGACATCTCCTACAACAGGAAGCCACAAATCTAAAACATCATCAACACCAGCTTCGTCATCAGAACCGGAGTCTACATAAAAATAAAAACTTCAAATGCTTAGATTTGGTGATATATTTAAATTAAAAAAATTTGTATACAATTTTTATATTTAAATTAAATAAATTTGTAAACAATTTTTCAATAAAAAATATTGTGCCTTCATCAAATAAACTATCATCACTGCTACTTAAATATTCTTCGCTTGTACAACTTTCTTCTTCAGTAAAACTTTCTTCGCTGTCACTCATCTTTAATACAAAATATACACAAACAATATACCAAAAGATAGAAAAAAATGTGCTCTATTCAATGGTACCATTTTTAAATTATGAACAGCGGTATTTCTGTAGAAAAAGTCATAGTTCTGATGAACACTTTTAAAGCCACGATCGTGGCTCTACGTGCTCTGACGGTATAGCCACGATCGTGGCTCCCCGTGCTCAAAGGGTTAATATGTTTTGAAAATTTATACATTTTAAAATGTATACAAATTTTCAAAATCTTAATTTATCTATGAAGAAACTTAAAAAAAAACTTATCGTAAAAGAAGCAAATAAATCTTCGTAAAAAAGTTATGAAAAATAAAATAAAAATAACTTAACTAAAACTAGAATAAAAATAGTAAAATTAAAACGTAACTAAAATAAATATAAGATTATTTAAATTACATTTGGAATAAATAACTTTGAATCGTTTATCTTTACTATTGTTTTTATAACATAATATTATGCGAAATACTTTTTAAATAAAGTAGGAACTTAAATCTAACAATTGTTTAATAAATGTGTATATTTAAAAGTTATAAAAAAGATTCTTAGCAATTCCTTGCAACAGCGTAAACAAAAGAAAGAATAAAGTTTATTTAAAAAGTTGGTATAAATTTTTTTTTATTTAAAGACATTTATAATAAAAAATACCTATATAAATATAAAAAAAATTTATTATTTGATAATATTTTCATAAAAAATCATTAACAGTGATTACTTTATTTAAATGCGTTTCAATAATATAAAAACATAAGTAAAGATCAAAGTTATTTAATTCAAACAGCTTTCAAAAAAGTTTGTCTTTTTTTGAACAAAATTTTTCTACTTTTTGAGTGAGTTAACTTTAATGAGTTAATAAACTTTAATTTTTTTAAAGAGACCATTGCTGTTTAAAGTCGTCGCTTATAAAATTTAAATATTTTGTTTTTATAATTTTTACTTTTTTTTTTTTACTTAAAAAAAATTCTTATATAATTAATTAATATAAATAAATATTTACAACTATATATACAGCTTTCAATGATATTTACAAAATATATACAACTTTCAATGATACTTTATTTAAAATCATTAGCTACTTTATTTAAAAGCGTTTTGCTAATTAAAAAAAAGTTATTAAAGATAAATGTGTCAAAGTTATTTATTTTTAGCATAATTAAAAACCAATTTTTTCAGCGCATGTGTTAAAAACTGCAGTTAAATCGTCAAAACCAAAATTATTTGTGTGGTCATATAAATATTTGAAATCTTTATTACAGCAAATTTATTTAAGCAAATAGAAATTTGATTGGATCCATTATTATTGTGTTGAGAATAACATGAAAAATTATAAAATACGATAAGAAGCTTGAAATATATTTTTTGCGTGTGGTCAGTCATAATCTGTTTATCTTTCATGCTCGGTCAGTCCTCGTTAATTTGGGGAGAGAGAATTGAAATTAAATTTACAGCATTGACAGAATTTATGTTTTATAACTTACGTCTTCTATAAAACAACATACATTTGAAAACATTTATATAAAGTTGATAAAGGTACAACATTTAGATGAATTCAAAATGCATTAAAAAAATAAAGCTAATTATTTTTTTGTATAAAAATCTATAATAATTATTTACAAGTAAAAAGGTTTTTAAAAGTTTATCACCTTTATAAAAGTTATTTATGGTATTTAGTGAAACAATATATACTTATAAATTTACAATTTAATTTTAAGTTATTTTTTATTAAAGTTGTTTTTTTTTCCAGGAACCCCTTTACATAGTTGTTGACACCAACATTTTACTTGCACATTTAAAATTTGTTTCAGAACTAAAAGATTTTCCATTTCCAGGTATTTTATTATCATAAGTTTATATACACAAATTACATACATACACACATACATACACACATGCATATATATACACATACATACATATACATCGCTATTGAGAAATTAGAATGTTGTTTAAAACCAAGTTGAAAAACGTTGGCACGTTTACGCTTTCTCATCAAACTGTATAAAACCCCTAATAATCAAAGCTTACTCAGAACCTCAGCACTTTTTTAAAAGTTGTGTTGCAATCTGTTGGAATAAATTACTGCGTGATGTAGTTGATGTAAACTTTTTTAAAGTACTTTTATGACGCTACTTCGGCTGCAGCAATTTCATTTGTCATATGAAAGCCTGGTGTTGGTTTCCTTCATCAATATTAAACTTTTTATTTATAAGTTACATAGTTATTATAATAAATAGATAAAAACCTAAAATCTTTTAGTTTTCAGCTGCAGTCTCACTAGATGAAACATCTTGCTTTACAAGCTTTTGGATACCAGGTGTTCAATTCAGATTTCCGCTCTAAAACTAATTGCAAAACGACCACAGGAAATCACTGCTGCTCTAACACTGTTGCTTTATCTTCAACCAAAACCTCGCCCCATGATGAGCTGATGAATCATCTTGGTGATGAAATAGAATTTTTTACAAAACAAATGATGATTAAAAAATTCGCAATGAATCTAAATATGCAGTTTTTTTCATGAGTTCTCCAAACATAAGCTTGAAGTGAATATCTTTAACCTTGAGCTTTGTCATTCTATTTAACTTTCAATTTAATATTGGGATTGTAAAAACTGTTTTATTGAGATTCTCATTCATCTGGCTAAAAGATCAAGAACTCTAAAAATTAAAAAGTTTGAAATAGAAGACAACTTTATGGAAGATATTTTGCATCTCAGTAGTTTAAATTAGTCATCATTTTTCACTTCTGGAAACATATTAAGTTTTCTCAACTAAATATACTCAAACGGTTTATAGCTTATTTTCCAATATATACACATTCTAATTCTAATTTTTAACGTAATACCTGTCGCAGAAAGTGAACAACCTTTAAGTAAACTAAAATTGAATTAAAAAAAACAATTGTAGGGCCACTATAACAAAAGATTTAAGATCATCTATTAGACATAAATATTGAAAAGGAATTGGATACAACTCTGTCATAAGATGATATAATAATAATAATAATAACAATTTTTGCTTGTGAAAAAGCAAAAAAGGTTTTCAATATTTATTTCAAAGAATCTGTGTTATTTAATCCAGATAAGATATGAATGTAAGTTAAAATATGGATGTAAGTTAACATAACTTTAAATAAAAAAAAACAGACATTAACTTGCATAATTGTACATGTTCTCATTTTTAAAATATGCATGCTTAAAGAGGTGTCTAATTGCTACTATGCTCCAGGTGTCATGAAAATCTGGGTGGCCCTGATCATGCATGTGCATTTTTCTGCTAACCATTATTTGACGTTGTTTAAAGTATTGTTCTTGAAAAGTACTATTTTTAAGATATACTATTTATAACCTTCTTTTAAATAAATGCATTAAAACACATTACAAAATTTAAAGTTTACTTTATTAAGAGGCCAAAATATTTTTTTCACCCACCTTTGAAATGTTTAGCGCTGGGTCTGCACACATACATACATACACACATACATGCATACATACATGCATACAGACAAACATACATACATACATACATACATACATACATACATACATACATACATACATACATACATACATATATACATACATAGATACATACATACATACATATGTACATACATACATACATATATACATACATACATACATAGATACATACATACATGCATACATACATACATACATACATTTATATATACCAGGCTTTCACAGGAAGACGTACGATTTCATGTCTTTATATGACCACGCAAAAAAAAAATTTTTAATGATTTGACCACGGCATATTTTTAAAATTTAAAAACGCGCTACAAAAACTTACCTAAACTTATCTGAAAAAAAAATTTTTTTAAATAATAAATATTAACAAAAGAGAAAATAAAAAAAATACTTAGTTAAAGGAAAAACTCAAAAAAATAAATATATATATATATATATATATAACACAGTGGACCAGAGAGACCGCCAGGTTTTATGTCGTGTCAATTAAACGAAACTTTTTTTATTTAATTATATTTATTTTATTATAATAGAAAAAGTTATTTTTAAAATCTAAACCAAGTGCTAAGGGTCCCAAATGGGGCAAAATAGAGTGGTAGTTTTACACCCACCCATTTTTATGATTAATTATGATCAAAAATATTATACTGATTTGAAATCATATAAAAACATAGGTCTAAAAGTTTCTGGCAAATGGTCTATTTTGCATTTGAAATTAAAAATATATGTATTAAAATGTAAAAAACTAACATCTTTCTAAAAATTTTGCGCCTTTAACAATTTAACGGAACAAAGTAACTATTTATTGCGTTTGAAAGAACTGGTTTTTATTATAATTTCTAATTGCTGAAAAATGTTTGTCTTATTTTTATAAAAAAGATATTTAGAAGCTGATATTCTTTAAATGATGGAAATAATAGTAGACATAAATTTTTGTTTATAAAGAAACCTTAACTAACAATAACAAGTTAAGCAACACTAAAAATGTAATTCTTTTGCATAGCAAATAAAATCCAGGGTGCGTGATTATATAAAGAAGTTTAAATAATCGCAAAAAAGATGGCATAATTATTGATTTATATTTGGATATTGTGCTTCTATAAAATTTGTCATATAATATATGATAAATGTTATAAAAGTATATATATATATATATATATATATATATATATATATATATATATATATATATATATATATATATATATATATATACATATATATATATATACACACACATATATATATATATACATATATATATATATATATATATATATATACATATATATATATAAATATATATATATATACACACATTTATAAATATTTAGATGTATATTATATAATATAAATTAAATGATAAGTCCCTATAACTGATATAAAAAAATATATATATATAAATATATATATATATATAAATATATATATATATATAAATATATATATATATATATATATATATATATATATATATATATATATATATATATATATATATATATATATATATATATATATATGTTATGTATATGTATATATATTCAGATGATTAAAGAACTTCAAATAGTGTTAGAACTTTCCCTTAATAAAACAGGACTATTGATATCTACTCTTCGAAAAGGAATGGGAAGTAAGTTGTAGAAAACAACATTTTTGGAAAAATGAGTGACTTAAAAGAGTCTTTATCGCATTTTTATCAAGTAGAAAAGGTGGCAATTATATATCTTTTAGTATTGAAAATTAATCATATCATTAAAAGTTTTTCTAAAATTTATTGCTTTTTTTCAGGGCAACTTCTTTGATAGTACTGGTGGCACTTCTATAAAAGGCCTTGTTTTTGTTCTAGTTTTGTTCTTGATTTAATTATTCAACGTTGTCTTGATTTCCAGTCAGCATTTGTTTGTATTTCTATGGATGGAGGAGGTGGTTTGATGAAGGACATTGTAAATGCTTTCGATGTTAATGAAAGTACTACTTCAAATTTATACTTAAATAGTGGTGTACAACGATGTCAAATCCTCTCCATAGTTGAAGATGTGCAAGAATCTAACTTCCATTTAAGAATAATTTTAGAGAAACTCAATTTACAAGATGTTAAGTTTTCAGCAGCTTTTGATTTGAAATGTGCTAATGCAGTTTTTGGAATATCAAGCCATGCAGGTAAAAAAGCTTGTCTTTGGTGTGAATGAGACTCAAGTGAAGTTTGTGGTAAACTGCGAACGCTTGGAAGCCTTGACTATTGGTATCAAAGATAACAATAGTCATTGTAGAAAATAGTTCAAAGAAATCTAATATGAAATATTTTATGAACGTAATATATCCAAGAATTCTCTACCTCGACAAAGATCCAGATACACTAATCCAACATTTAGTACCTCCCCCTTAATTACATATCCTGATAGGAATAGTAACAACACTGGGATGTTTATTATTGGATCTTTGGCCAGGTTTTGATATTTTTTTAAAAAATAGTGGTGTTCTACAAAGAGGATATCAAGGTAGAGGTTGGGATGGGAATAATTCAAACCAGATACTAAAGTGTGTTGATGATTTGGAAAGAGTTGTTTTGTATGAATATCCTGATCTTCTGCCAGTTGTTCAATGTTTAAAAGACTTTAAGATTGTAAAAGATTCTTGCTTTGGTAGAACACTTGAGCTTGGATATCAGCAAGCCATTCTAAATTTTAAGAACTTCTTTTTATCTGCTCAAGAAATTGCAGATCTTCTTGGAAAAAAACTTTCAATTAGTTGGAAAGTACATATACTCTTGTGTCATGTGCAACCTTTTGTTGAGCACCACAAATGTGGTTTGTCTAAGTTTGCTGAACAATGCGGAGAATCAGTTCACTCAAAATTCAAACCAATGTGGAACAGGTTCAAATGACAAGTTGCAAACAAAGAATATGGTGGAAGACTCCTCTCTTATTGATTTTAACGGAAGAAGAGTTAGTAATGTTTAGGTGCTTTATGTTCCATATGTCAGTAGTATTTGTAAATATTAGTCATTTTATTATTTTAAATTTTATTCAATTCATTGAAATTAAAAAATAAAGATTGATAAATAAATAAAAAAATAAGAATTTAATTTTTTTTTTATATTAGATCTTGGGGGCACTAATGAAAGTGCTTGACTAATGAAAGATAATAAATTTTAAATAATTTTGCAAATCTAAACTTCTAAAACAAATTCAGTGAGAGAAAAAAAAATTAAAAATTAAAAAAAAAATCTTAAATGGGTTTGGGGCCCCTCAATCTTCCTTTTTGCTCTATTTGGGACCCTTAGCACTTAGATTTTAAAAACAACTTTTTCTATTATTATAAAATAAATACTAATAA